GAGCTTGAAATTCCCAAGATCCAAGCAAGATCTCACCGAAATGGTCGGTGGTGATTTTTCGCGCGAGAGAAACCAAAGACACTCCTTGTTGGGCTTTCGCCGGTCATTTCCGGCGACACGTAGCGCGCCCTTAGCCGTCCGCCTTTTGATTTATCGCGACGCGGAGGCCACCCGCGAGGTAGGCAACCCGTGTCGGAAGGCACCTTCTATACTCCATACGTGGCGATGATAAATCTCGGGCACTCTCTCTTGGGCTGCAGGCGCCGCCGGTCGCCGCCGCTAAATCTGCGCGAATCACGCAGCGTGCGGCCGGTATCGCCCGGTAATAAATCGCGCTTCGATCGCAAAACCGTGTCTCGCAGTAGCACGTAGCGCGCGGGCGAGAAGAGGGATCCAGAAATAGCGGGATTTATCTTGTAATTTTCGAGGAAATTAAATCCTCCGGAGATCAAAGAACTTAAGGAGAAGAGAAAGAAAGAGGAGAAAAGCGTCGAAGAGATGCGATAGAGAGCTAAGCTACAAATCTAATCATCTGGAAATTGCGTGGACAATCGAAAGAATCTAATCTCGGTTCGCGCAGAATCGAGGATCTTGAACCTCTGAACACGGTTGAAAAATTTGTGTTAAATTTAACAGACATTTCCAGTAGTTATGCTTACAATTAGATGATTTTATTACAATTAGCTAGATAAAGATGAGATATAAATTTGTAAATTTATCTTAGATAAGGCGATTCATCTAGATAACTTTCAGATAATATTATTTTTAAAAGTACTTATATAAACATAAATATAAAAAAAATGTAAATTATGAAAGGGATATAAAAATATATTTATACTTTTATTTATAAGTTTTTATCGTTTACTGTTTAAGTTCTACTAATTAAGTATTTTTATGTACTATGACTCTAATTATCTGAACATTATTTTACATAATTTTATGAAGATAATACTTTTTTCATTTAAGATGCAGATATAGATAATATTTTTATTATCTATATAAAGATAAGATGACGCCAAAATTTTATCTAGATGATTATCTATATAATTTTATTTAGATAACAGCAAACACTCTGGACATTTCACATGTCCCAAACGGTCCACAGAAATTTTTGTGTTAATTTAACTACCTATATAATATAACTGTATATAATTTATTATTTTTTTACATTTTCACTTAAAAAAAAAGAATTATATTCTCGAAAAAAATTTTTTTATTTATTCCAGTTGAAATCCATGTAAATCACTTTATAATCACTTTATAATTTAACTATTATACATAACTGTAATAATATGAATATGTTAAATAAAGACACAAATATTGTGTTAATATTTTAACACAAAATAAATGCGAAACTTTAAGTAGCTAACTTAAAATAAATTTTGTGCAAAATTAACACAGTTTTAATGTAAAAATTAACTAAAAATATGTTAATTTTAGATTTTATTATCCTCACTTATATTATAAAATAAAAAAATCAACATTTTGTTCTGTAAATTTTAACAGATAAATCTTGTCACCAATAAAACAGAACATATTTATTGTGTAAAATTGAAAATAGATATGCACATTGTGTTATTCTTACATCTTTTTTCAGCAATATGTTAAATTAACACATGAATGTATTAAACATTTAACACAAAAATTATTATAGGGATCGTTTTTAACAAGAAAGCACAAATTTTCCTACTATGTGAATGAGATAGAGCGAGGACGAGGTAGGAATTCGAAGACGTGAAACTGCTGGAGGCGAAATGTTGAAGACGAATGGAAATAACAATACAAATGAAAAGCGATGAACGAGCATTTCGGATAAATGGAAAAAAAATATTGCGTGAAATCTGAAATTTTCTCCGAGTTCTAAAGCGTAACAATAACGATACAGCTTTTCTTGTAACTGAAATGTACCAACATTTTGCCATAGATTTCAACCAATAACCGTTGCACCATAGAGAATTCTGCAATATCCATGGAAGCAACCAGTTTTACGTCCGAACGACTTTTCGCTCGACGAAATAGGTAGAAACGAAGGTGAACTTCTGTATCAGCAAATAACAGTATTTGCCACTAGATATATTTCTTTTTTCATTTCGCTAAAGTAAGAAGAGCTATTATTTTACATTAAAAAGAATTAATCTTTTTTGTTTTTTTTATTGACAAAAAAGAATAAATAGAACGATGAAATAAATAAAAACTGACGTAACAATAATAAAAAATGTAATAATACTAATAATGAAAAAGTGAAATAATAAATAAATAAATAAAAATTAATATAAAAATAAAAAACTGATATATATATATATATATATATATATATATATATATATATATAATATTATAATAAAGAATAAAATACAATTAATACATAACAAAAAGAGTTTAATGAAAAATAGTGCAATATACATATAAAATATGTATAATATGTTTGAGAGCGAAACATATGACATTTCGTCGTTTGGCCATAATCCCGCGACGAAAACATTGCCACATTGTGCATTATGGAACGACGAATATGGCGGAGGATCCTCATGATCCTCCTTGCTATCAACTTGGTCGGTAAAATAAGTTCGCCCCGAGATTCGGCTTATTCTGAATAATATATCAAACTTATGAAGCGGTTTTAAGGGCGACGTCGCGGCAAATCCTCGTATTATAAAGAGATATAAAAGAGACCGAAATTGTCTGCTCCCTCCTTCCTTGGGATTGAACGATCACGATTATTTCGGATTATTTAGAATTTAATAAATGAGGATTTCATATAACAAAGGGCGAAAGCGTTCTAATTTCAGATACAAACAATCCGTATAGCCAATAAATAGATTTATAGTTTATCTAACCTCACATTTTGTCGATAAAACAGGAAGGAAACTGAAAATTAGTAGTATCAAATTTTTCTAATTCAAATTTAAAAATTTATATATAAAAAAGAGAGAAGGGGATGATACTAATAAATAAAATGTGTCGAAAAATAATTTAATACCAGGGAGAAACAAGATATAAAAATTCGAGCCGCCCATTTCCGAGAAGACAGAGAGAGAGAGTGAGTTTCTAAACTCTCTAAAGAGCTAAACTTCCCCAGTTATAAAATCCATCTAGGTGAAGATCCTAGACGGCATCCACCTACCCGTTCCTCCCGTCCCCTTTGTGTCTGGGAGACGAGCTAAGTTCATTAACGTAAATGAGATGATTCTGAAGAGGAGCTACTCGTCGTCTACTCGGGTACCAGAACCCCCGTGCATCGCATCCCGAGGAGAAGGTCGCCTCAAAGCCTTCTTATCGTAGATTTAACACGTCGTTACGTCCCGTGAATACGCTACGAATATACGTATATACATGCGTAGAAGGAGCGGGACGGATAATTCAGATACAAAACTAATTTCGCGAACCCCTTACGCGCATTAAGCTCACCGGCGACTTCCGTCGAGTTTCGTGTTAGTCCGACGAGAGTCCCGAATTGTGCGTTATTACACGCGTTAACGGAGACTTATTCGTCTCGAAATAATAAAGTGCATAATTTATATATAAATATTATATTATATTTATATATATATATATAAAGTAAATAATCTTTACTTGTAAAAAATTAATTGAATTAAACTGAAGCTCGATTAAATTAAATTGAATCAAAGTGAAAATCTTATTCAATAGGGGTTGATTTAAATGTAGTCTCGCTCAGCTCGATGCAATTTCAATTCACCGAAATGTAATCCAATTAAAAAGAACTGTTATTGTTTATATATTTACAAATTAGCGTTATTTCAATCTAGAATAGTAATAATATAAAAAAAACATTGTATCAATTAAAAATATAATTTAAAAAATACATATATTAAAAAATATTAAAAAATAATATTGAACTAAATTGAAATTAATAGAAAAATTAGAATTTAGAAATAAAAATTAATACGCGTACAAAGTTTAAATATTTGAATTGGAAAAACTTGACACTATTAATTTTTAAAGTATATATACTAAGAGGATTCTAAGCTAATTTATGTTTCCTTCCTGTTTTATCGACAAAATATGAAGTTAGATAATAAATGCTTAGAATTCATAATTCTGTAATCAAGATATATGAAACTATACAGATTGATAAATTTTTTCTTGTACAAATTAAAGTATTAATATTAACAAAGGGCGAAACGTTCTAATGTCAGGTAAAAAACAATCCGTATAGCCAATAAATAGATTTATAGTTTATCTAACCTCACATTTTGTCGATAAAACAGAACGGAAATCACAGTCTTCTTAAGAACGTTTAGGATTACCTTAATTCAATAAATAATGTTTAATTTTTTAATCAAAATTTATAGAATTATATTTAAATTTAATTACATTAATAACTTTAATGTAATATTTAAGAATATATTAATTATGTTTATTTGAGCAGAACAAAGTGCATATAATACAAATTTTCAAATCTTCATCTATAATAATTTATAATTTTTTAAATAAATTTCTAATTTATACGAAATTTTAAGTCTTAAATTTTTCCACTGTGTTTTTAATTTTTATTATTAGAGGACTCATTGTAAGTATTAATACTTTCTTATATTTTTAACAGACATTCTTTTATTTTCCAAGGCATTTTAATCATTTTGCTCCAATTTTTTAAATGTATATACATATGCCTCAAACATTTAGCAAGAGCTTAGGACGAGAATGGTATTATTCGCGATGTTATTCATCAAGATGCTCGCGAAAGAACGTCTCTTTCAAGTTACAAGAAGGCGCAGACTTCATCCTTTTCGCGATTCGCATTCTCGCGGATCAACGAGCAAACAAGCATCCGGTACAAGTATCCTTCTTCCTGTCGATGCCTCTCCTCATCCAGATGCATATCCGCGGAAAAATTTCGAACAAGGCGAAGATGGTTTCATCGCGAAAAACGAAAACCTGAAACTCGCCTCGCCTTGGCGGCGCTTCGTTCGAAAACTCGCGATTTAATTTTAGAAACGTTTCTCGCACACGCTTTGGCTCAGTTTGCATGCGAGATTCGCCGGGACAAAACGAGCTTTTTCGACACGCGCTTTTATCGTTAAAAAAATGGGGAATTAAGTGCGCCGAGTATTAAACAATCGCAAAATTTAAATTTTATTAATCTTTTTTTTTTGGCTACAATATATTTCGCGAATCATGAAAATTATAGTGACAATGTGGTGATATAATTGTGTGCGAGAGATGTAATTATCAAAATTAGATTTTTATCAAAGAGAGAAGATATCAATGCGGAGTGAAATTTATTGTCGTCGCAATTTTTGTAGGGCGTGCAAAAGAGGGTAAAAAATGAATTCCCAGTTATTTTACGGCTGCATTTACTTTTTATCTATAAATAGAAATTGTTGCAACGTAACTGATATAACGGTTCGTCGTAATTCGAAATAATTTTTTATCGGAGGGAAAAATTTTTTTCTAAAATTTATTGAATAAAATCCCTTTTTTCTCTGTAATGAGAGAGAAAAAAAGGAAAGAGAGAGAGAGAGAGAGAGAGGTATACAATAGAGGTTTAATAATCGGGGCGTGATATAACGTGGCGGTATTTTCTCACCTCTCGAAAATCTATCATAAACATCGACGGAGGTAAAAAGAAAAATTAATGATGGATGAGGTGAATTCCTATAAGCTTACCCGCAACAAGCGGTCGGCAAAATAGGATTTGCTGCAATAATCGCTTACGCTCTCGTTCAATCCCTAATCCCTCGACAACACCTCTACATACACACATGCATAGAAGGAAAAATAAAAGTTTGCCAAAAATATTTTATTTTATTTCGCCATCGTGGAATATAAATAGAAGGCCGGACTCGTATAAAATTGTATTAAAAATATGAATAAAAAATAGATATATAATATAGAAATACAATATATTATATATATATATATATATATATATATATATTTATATATATATATACATATATGTATATAATTTTTATTTTATTAATATATTCATTATATCACAATTTAATATAAACAATTATTATTTATTATATTACATTAAATTTTACATTTATAAATTTTTATATTGTATTATATTATATTATATGTGATATATGTGTGTGTAAGATATATTATCATAATTTATTTGATCACGAAAACCTAGAGCAAAGAGTGAAAAACAATTTAACAAATGTGCGCTTTATTGAATGTTTTCATATAAATAAAAATATAATAGTTTCGCGCATACGGATAGCAACGTATCTGGCGAATCAAACCGTTATTGCGAGTTCACACCCTGAGGAGTGTGCATCGACGCGAAAAATGTACAATTCGACTCTGCTCGACGAGGAGGCTCCGCAGTTGTCATCGTCGACGTTAAAAATAACGCGGGGAGTTTTCTACGAGCGTGAAACGTCTCGCAAAAATTTCTATTTCAAAGTTCCGAGAAGGATCTCGTCACTTTGCGCTTCCTTTCTCGTATCTCCGCACACATTCTCAAGATTTCTACGCTATTAATTTCTGCTTTGTTCAAGAGAATCCTTCATATACGTATCTTGTATATAATTATAAGCAAAATTAATTATTCGACATTTTGCTCGTCATTTAAAAAAGGTTCAGATTTTGATACTAATTTATTCAAAAATTTAAAGTTATTTAAAATTATTAAAAACGCAAGCAAAATTAATTATTTGACATTTTTGCTCATCATTAAAAAAAGGTTCAGATTTTGATACTAAATTCATTCAAAAATTTTTGTAATGAACCAAAATTATGTAAACGTTAAAATGTCATAACCATACGATTTTTAGATTTTTCAAAAATTTTCACGCAGAAAAACAGTTTAGTAATAAACAGTTGCAGATTACGTTCTTATTTTTACTTTATTTAAAAGAATCTTATTATTACATATTTTATATATAATTATGTATAAAAAACCTCTGTAAGTTAAATTGAAAAAGGGAAAGCATATTATATAATTTAATAGACACGGGTTTAAGTGTACAAATTAATTACGTTTGACATTTTTGCTCATCGTTAAAAACCACTCAGCTTTCAATACAAATCCATTAAAAAATTTGTCAAATTTTTTGTAATTACATAGAAATATCCCATGAAAGCTTTAACACATTTCATTCATGAGAGTATCTAATTAAAATTTCTCTGGATAAAAAAGTTATCGAAACGTTATAATGTTAAAGCCAAAGGTTATTTTTCGACTCTCCAGAAATTCTCACGTGGAAATATTGCGTTAAAAGAAAATTCGGAATTGCAGACTGTACAAGCTCGACAGGTAAATCTAATATGATCTGTGAAAATCGCGTAGCGTGTTGAAATCCTCAAAAGTTTGCCATCGTAAATGTCCCAAATATCGGATTTAGTTGGTTGCGCTGTATCTCTCTTTTGCGTTTTCCCGGATTAGTTTTGAACTCAATGTCATTCATCCAACGTAAATTACGTCGAAATTACGGCCGCTCGTGCGTGTATATACACATATACCGCGAGTGTATATAAAACTAGAGCTATTATCGCGATGTTGGAAAATCGCGAATATCTCGCCCGCGTGCACGTGATCGAATTTGCACGAATGCGAGTTGTCGTTTGACGTTAACGCGTCTCTTTACGAAGTTGAAGTTCTTATCTCGCCCGTATATAGACGAAGATGTCATCATGACGTCTCTCGTGTGCAAAATATCTTTTCTCGCTGCGCCATAAAATATTTCGTCCAAAAATAGCTTCTATCTGCGCGCTAAATACATCGCGAGAACCTCTCGTCTATTGAATTATAAAAAAAAAAATATATATATATATTGAAATAATTTTAATTAAGTAAATAAAGTATATATTTTGCAAAAGATTTCTTATATTAATTGTATTTTATATACAATTAATAAGAAATTTAAATAAGAATTTCAAATAAGAATTATTCATGAAATTATTTCTTAATAACAACTTATATTAAAAATTATTTAGAATGATTTCTTAATAATAACATAATTTTCTAAAAAAAAAAAAAAAAAATAAGAATTTTAAGTAAGAATTATTTATGAAATTATTTCCTCATAACAACTTAAATTAAAAATTATTTAAAATTATTCTTAATAATAACAATTTTCTCTAAAATATATATATATATATATATATATATATATATTTTAGAGAAAATTGTTATTATTAAGAAATAATTGTAAAATTAAAATTCTTATTTCAATTTCTTACTAATTGTAATAAAATATAATATATATTATAATATATAATACATATAATATAATATATATATATATATATATATATATATAAAATACAATATATATTTATTTTTAAATATATATCGTTAAATATACATTATTCTAAATATATATATATTTTTTTAATTATGTTATTATTAAGAAATAATTTTTAATATAAGTTGTAATAAAGAAATAATTTCCTAAATAATTCTCATTTAAAATTCTTATTTAAACATCTTTTTAATTATACATAAAATACAATTAATAAGAAATCTCTTGCAAAATATATATCCTATTTAATTAATTAAAATAATTTCGAGTTGGTAATAAATTATTATTAATTACAACGTCCATTATAAACTTTGTTCGCGCCTCTCTACGACGAAGGGAGTACACTTTGTTTAACATGGTAAAGAGCGAGTTTTTGACGGTAGCGTGTTGTAAGTCGAGAATGGTGCAAACTGCGCTCGGCGATGTCCTCCAGAGGCGATATTCTTGGCGGGACAAACAAGGGTGAACGCACGTACGAAGAGAGAGCGACGGCTCGCGCGACTGCACGTACTCTTCGCCCCAAATAGAACGCGCCGCCTGTTGGTAAACTTCGCTCTCTCTCTCTTTCTCTCTCTCTCCTTCTCCTTCCCTCGCGCTTTCTCACCCTCTCTCTCTCGCGCGGGACTTTCGATGTGCATCAGCTTGTCTCTCCTCTCGGTACGGAGCACTTTCGCTTAAATACAGCGAAGGAATGCGCGTGTCCACGCATGCGAAAATAATAATCGCGCGCGTGGGAAGTTTCGAGTAATAAAGTGGCCAACGATATATCAATTAATCACGAAAAGCGCGGATGTCGAGATATATCGAATCTCAATTTTTTCCGGTTTAATGAAAGAATCGTGTGACAACGTGGCGACGATTATCGAGATACATCGATCAAATTTGATAGGAGATTCCGTTTATGTAAAATGCACGATATATAAATTTGATCCTTCTGTCGATAAACGGATACATGAGCACTCAAGCAATTTTGTTCAAAAATCTTCTCAAATTTATTTTATTTTATTTAATTAAAAGGTCCCTCTAGTAATAAGACAACTTATAGCAATAATTGCCTTTACAATACAAATACAAAAAAAAAGAAAAAAGAAAGGAAAAATTACAATTACAATAAAAACCATAATAAAAATACAAATTAAAATGTAATGGATAGTTCAGCAGCTGCTATAAAAAGAACTGTCAAAGTATGATATGTCAAAAACACTTATACATTAATAAAAAAAAAACTGAAAATTGTGCATTGACAGAAGGATTGAAAATATGTATGTATAATAAAAGTTAATTAATTAAAAAAATTGTTTAATCTATAAAAAGAACGAGAGCAGAATTATATGTTGATTGTGCTGAATATGAAGTGCATATTTGATAGACCGATTCCGGTCGATCGGGTATATGGTTAAAACGAGTCCGGGAAGAGATGTCATGTTGAACTTTGCAATGAACTGTAACTCGAATAAAATCAAGTGGCGTCCGGAAAATCGACCGACAGCTACGAAAATGTGAACTCCACGTGCGGAAAAGTAACTTCTAACAATTCCGCGTTGGCAGCGGAAGCTCCGAAGCGAAAAGTTCGAGCGACGGCCGAAAGAGCCCCGGTCCCGTTCTCTTCGCATCCGGTCTGACGTTAGCCGGAAAAATTATTTTTACTTCAATCGGGAGTGCTTGCTTCTGAGTCGCGTCGCTTGTCGCGCGTTGCTTCAAAACTTGTCATTGATGCGTGAACCTTTTAAAAGGTTGCGGTATTTTTCTACGGTAATCTCTTTCCACATATAACATATAGTATACGTCATAAGTGTCAAAGTGTGGTGTCTCTTCTTTTTTTAATTAATTACAATATAAGAGTTTTGTGATAAAATTTCATTGCGAAAAAATTCCTACGAATATCGGGATAAAATCTCAGAGAGTTCAGCGAATTTTTGGGGACTTTCAATCTTTCAAGTGTAAAAAATTGACATTTGACCGATCCACGAACGCGAAGCAAATGTCCAAGATGCTGCGAATGGAATTGGTGGGTCTTCTATTGTTGGCCTGCACGCAGATTCTTACGGAACATCGCGACTTGCACGAATCGAGGAATCAGTACGGTTATCATCAGCGATATCACGATCTCCAGGAGAGGATCACGAGGGAAGTTCGCGTAAAGGAAGGCCGATTACGCGGCATGGTAGTTCAACCGAGGACCAATTACAACCTGCAGCTGGTCGACGTTTTTCTCGGTAAGTGATTATGTGTATTTGATTGTCAAGAATTACCATATGCCAAAAAATAGTAGCATCCAAAAACAGAGCAAACAAGCAATTTATGTGGCCATGAGAATTATTTCCTCAATTTTGCCGATAAAAATGATCCTTTATTCGTGATCAACACTGTCAATGCATAAAACTATGTAGGTAAGGCTTGTGATTACCGATTAATTCGATTAATTACTTAATCGATTAGAATCAAATGTACTGATAAAAATCGATTAATCAATTTGATTAATCGATATCGGTTAATTAATTAATTGATTAATCGATTAATCGATATGGTTAATCGATTAATCGATATCGGTTAATCGATTAATCGATTTTGAATTAATCGATTAATCAGTAAAAATCACGAGCCCTACTTTGAACACATTGCACTGCAACAATTTTGTTGAGAAGTTACATCGGATATTATTCCTCATTATATTTCAGAAATTTTGTCGAACAAAGCTTGTTTCGAGTGCTTGCTCATTAAGAAAAGGATCGATGCTGAAAATGATGGGGATTTCTTTTCTCTCTGATGAGAAAAGTCGGCGATAAAAAACAGCCGAAACTATTTATATTCTGTTCAAACCAGTGTTTATCCCTTAGCAGCGTTGCTAAACCGGTTGACGCAGAAGACCGACGTTTCATATGCAATAATCTACTACAACGATATCCCGATAGCGTTCGATACTCCGGAGGAAACTCGGCTCCGGTCAGTGAGCAAAAGTTTCCTGGCAGCTGCATATCCGCGCTTTGAGAGTCCCGATACGTCAAAGGATCCAAAACGAAGAGAGCGTGCGCTCACGCGCGCGCCCGTGTATTTCGGGAACAGATATTACTCGCCCGTCTCCCCCTTTAGCTTTCTCGGCCCTTGCACGAGCACGCGTCCGTCAAGTCGTATCGCCACGCGTCGGGAGGCTGCATCTGTGTGCGTCACTTTGTATATCCAAAGACGAGTTCACGCTGTTCGCTCTTGGTAATCATCCAAAGTGAACGCATTCGACGAAGCAGTTCTTGCTTATGACGCGTGTCAACCTTGCGAAGATAAGTGAATTGGAAAAAGAATTTTTTTGTGTAAGAAACAATTTTTTTCTACATTTTTTTATATATGTATATAGAACATTTTTGAATAAAATTGCTTCGGGTATTTTTTTATTTTTCGATTTACAAAAAAAAATTTTTTATAAAAAATTAATTGAAAAAAGAAGACGTATAGAAAAAATTTTTTAATAAAATTTAATTAAATTTTAATTTTAATTCGATTTATTGTTGGTCGGAAATTTTTGAGATCAAAGAACAATGCAAAGAGAGGATATTTAGAAAAAATTTTTTTTTCATTTTTTGATCTTAAAAATTTCTGAATGAATCGAATTAAAATTGAAATATTATTAAATTTTATTTAAGAACTCATACAATATTCCTAGCTTAATTGGAAATAAAGATATTTCTTAAAACGAATTATTATGAATAATATTCTTAAGAAATATGTATATATTTATATCAAAACAAAATTTTCTATATATGTTTCATATATATATATAAATATATATATATATAGGGAATTTTTGAATAAAATTGCTTCGGGGATATTTTCTATATATTTTTTCCAGTTTTCAATTCACAACAAAAATTTTTTTTTCTATACACAAAAAAATGAATTGAAAAGAGTAGATACACGTATAGAAAAAAATTTTGTTAATAAAATTTAATTGAATTTTAATTTTAATTCCATTTAATCGGAAATGTTTGACATCAAAAAACAATAAAACAAAAATAGAGAATATATAGAAAAAGGTTTTTCATTTTTTTATTTCAAAGAATTCTGACTGAATCAAATTAAATTTTATTTAAGAACACATACAATATTCCTAGATTAATCAGAAATAGAGATAGTTATTATATTAAAAAGAATTATTATGAATAATATTCCTAAAAAAATATATATTTTTCCTGATTAATTTACTCTATGATCTATTTAAATACCAGAGATATATTTAAGTACTCGGTTCATGTGAAGGAATTCTCTGGTGTGTTTTAGGAGTTCCTTACGCGGAACCTCCAGTGGGATCCTTCAGGTTTTCACCACCTCGTTCACCGCAACCATGGCGAGGGGTGAGGCAGTCGCAGGAATTCGCTCCAGTTTGCCCGCAAGTCTTGCCAAATCTTCGAGAGGAAGTGAAACCAGGCAGGTACGAATACCTGGAGAGACACCTACCCTACTTGAGAAACCAGAGCGAGGACTGTCTGTACCTCAACATCTACGCTCCTCATCAGGCCGAGGGTGAGTGCGAGTGAATCACACAGATGGGTTTCGTTGTTGTAGTAGTAGTAGTGGTGTATAAGGAAAGTTATCGACTCTGATACCACAAATCCAATCTACGAAGCCTGGGCTACGTCAGAGAGGTGACTTTCGCTTCCGCCAAGCGGAATTCAATCGAAACGCAAGTTTGCGACAATAATTTAACCAAACTCTCCAGTCTCATTGTCGGAAGGCTAATTTGGGTTATAAAAAGTTCAGAGAGAAAGAGGAAAAAAATCTTTCACTTTATTTAATTTAATAACCATCCACTCACAAATCGACTCTGCCTGGGGACGAAATATTCTCGCGATCAACTACTCGTGCACTAGGGGAAAATGGAAAAAAGTTTTTATTTCAAATTTCCCGTTCCAACCGGGGAGAAAGAGAAACAGCTGAAAATATTTTACATTCTGTATATACACACGTATAATCCGCGAACGCGATGATCCTCGCATTCGAAGCCCAGGCGGGCGAAATAAACCTCTGATGAAAATACCTGGCGTTGAATCGAAACTTTCTCGGATTTCTCCGGCTCCGCGCGAGAGAAAGAGATCGCGGAGAGTATCCGATCTATTGGGATAAAAAAAAAATAAAAAAAATAAAAAAAAAAGGAAGGAAGGAAGGAAAAGACCGGATCGCCCAGAGTCTCGATTTCGCGATTATGCGAATGCGTTCGGGCGCTGCGAGCTTTTCCCGCGCGGTCAACTCCGTAAAACAGCTGCCGATCGATTTACGGGACCGGCCAGCCGGCGTCAGTTCCGTTGGAAGGAACGGATCACGTGGGTCGGTTGGGGGAGGTTGGAGGGGGTTGGAGGGGCGGTTTCGGTTTTTCGCGTGCGCGTTATAAATTCATTCGCGCCCTCTTCTCCCTCCTGCTCGCGCGTACATATATATTCATTCCACGCCGTCCGGTCGCCCTCGATCGGCCTTTCCCCTCCCCCCTCCCCCCTCCTAACCCCTCTCAACCCCCCCTCTCGCCGTATTCAACATTTTACAATACCGATCCGGTCCGCGAGTGGGTTAAACTCGCGTCGCCGGGCCATTTACCGGCGTATGGAAATATCTAGCAAGAATTCCAAATCGAATTGAACGCCGACGAAGGGGGGGGGGAGGGAGGGAGAGGGGAGGAGGAGGGGGTTGTAGTGTTTGGGTGTTGCGTTGTGAGATATCGCTCGCAAAAACCGCACCGTTGCGCCGTGTCAGCTCGCTTGTTTCACGCAGCGATACGTTCGCCATGAGCCGTGCATTTTCACTTTTTTTTTTTCGTATTGCATATTTCCCTCCCTCCACCCCTTCTCAACCCCTTCCCCACCCCCCGATCGAATGCGATTTTAAATCGAAATGCTATCCTTTGGAATCCATTTTCCAAATTTCGCCCCGCGCTTCCTCTCCGGATTATATCGCAATCCTATTTAAAAATATTCATGCACACGCATATATATATATATATATATATATATATATATATATATATATACGAGATAAAAATGATATTTATTTTTTCTTTCTTTTTTATGCGTAATATTGTGATAAATTTGAAATATACTAGCAAGGTAATACTAGTTTGCGGTCAAAAATTATTTTTAACCAGACAAAATGTTTCTTATAAATTTTTAGGTGCTGAAAACAATGTCGCAAACCAAATTTCACCAGCAGCAAATGACTTTTTTGCGATATTTGAGATTTTAAAGAAACATTTTTTTTTTTTTAAAAGGTTAATGTTATCTGGAAATTCTCTCTCTCTCTCTCTCTGATCAAACGTCACGAATTGTTTATTTCCTATAAAATGCACTTTTTATTTCGATATTTTACTTTGCAACTATATTATGAAAGATTAAATAAACTTTCTGAAAACTACTGCATATTGAAGGATACCCAATAATAAACATTTAGTAGAACCTATCATCATAGGCAAAATATTTGCTATTTCAGCAAAAGTCTGTATTAAAATCCTTTCTAACATGGCTAAAAATAAAATATTAAAATAAAAAAAATTCATAGAGAATTATCAATACATTCATGATTTCTGATTAGAATTTCAAAATAACATTAAACTTTTTTACAAAAAAAATTAAAAATATCGAAAAAAAGAATTTTTTGCATATCAAATTTCAATTACTTATACTAGTAAAAATGTGGCATCGTTTTCAGCATCCAATAATCTATAAGAAACACCTTGTCTAGTTTTCAAACAATAAAAAAAAAAAATATATAATTCTTTTAAACCAGCGTAATTCATGGCATGGCGATATATTTCGACTTGGTTCATGTCCTCTCTTCAACAAGTGCGAACAAGGTTAATCTTTTTATCGCCGTTTCGAGAAAGAGGGTCTCGACTTCTTCAGTGCCCTCTGATAAACAAGATAAGCAGCCTTCCCTGTGATTTTTCTCGGCGTTTTCTCCGCAGTAGATATTAACCCCCTTGAAACCTGGTTTGCTTCGAGAATTCCGCAATTACCGCAATTGCGGTTGCCTGTTTATTGCGCGAGATACCGGATTGCGAGGTCCGGTCATTTGTAGAAAATAGATTGAAGTATAAATCTAATCGCGCGCGCGCGGACTCCAAACTCGTTCTCTACGAAATTCTACCTTCATGATTAATCGTCTCGTCCGATTGACATTTCGAAAACCAAATTTAACGCAAAGTTTGGAAAAGTTCTCGAAATTTTGTATACACGAGCTTTTTTCATTTTTGTATCTCGAAATGTTAAAAATTCCACAAATTACGTTTTCTTTTCACTCAAACTTCTTTTATTCAACTCCAAAAAAGGTAATTGTGTTAATTACTTTCTCTCTGTCGGCGCAGAATGGCTTCTCATTTAAGCAACATATTCGACTCGCTAAAGTCATTGCGAATTTTTTTCCTGTATCAGAACGTTTGTCAAAAGATTTATTCAAGGTTTCAATTTTGTTTTAACGCAGATAGAATATGTATATACAGGGTGTCCCAAAATGATCGGATATTCTGTTAATAAGGAAATTCCCAAGATTATTTAGGGCCGATTTTTGCTCAGCAAAAATGTCGAGAGAGATCATTAATTTTTTGCATGTTCCCAATTTTTATCACCATGTATCTTCGTAATTAAGTCTTAAATGAAAATTCCATTAAAGTAAACTCTACATGAAATTAATAAAATGATATAATTTTGTTAATGTTTTATTTGCACAAGGCTTAAGGGGATGCTGACCATATCTGTTTTACCGACTTTGAGTTTAAGGGCTTTTCTTTTTATTGGCTATACAGATTAAAAATTTTTGTTGAGGAAAAATCTTCTCCAAATAACCTGAGGAATATTCCAATTAACAGAATGAATTAATTTAGTATGTATATTTGCGTACGGAATCTATGTCGAGGCATACAACATCAAAAATTAGTTGCAGGACAGCGCTCCCCATTTATTTTTATCAGTACTTTTATTGTGGAGGATTTTTCAATCTATATATTCAATAAAAAGAACTTAATCTAACTTAAAATCAGTAAAACAGAACTACCGCAGCATCCCCTTAATTTACGAAAAACCTCTTATTTTTAATCGCTTATAATTCAAAAATTATTAATCACTCGACATTTTCGTTGAGGAAAAATCTTCTCCAAATAACCTGAGGAATTTTCCAATCAACAGGGTGAATTAATTTAGTATGTATATTTGCGTACGGAATCTATGTCGAGGCATAAAACATCAAAAATTAGTTGCAGGACAGCGCTCCCCATTCATTATTATCAGTACTTTTATTGTGGAGGATTTTTCAATCTATATATTTAATAAAAAGAACTTAATCTAACTTAAAGTCGGTAAAACAGAACTACGGCAGCATCTCCTTAATTTGCGAAAAACCTCTTATTTTTAATCGCTTATAATTCAAAAATTATTGATCACTCGACATTTTCGTTGAGGAAAAATCTTCTCCAAATAACCTGAGAAATTTTCCTACTAACAGGGTGTCCAGTAATTTTGGGACACCTTGTGTGTATATATATATATATATATATATATATATATATATTTAAGTCATTAACGAATACATTATGGGAGAAGTTGCAAACGCGAGAGACGACTATCATACGCATCACGGGATTACTATTAATTCTGCGAAAGACGACACATTGAATTCGGAATAAAACGCGTTGATGACTACCTTGCCCGGTGAAGCCCGGGCTCTCGAGTGCAGCTCCGGAGAGGAAAACGTGTGCACGAGTGGCACTCGGGAAAGTCGCCGGAGCCAACACGAGCCTTTGTACCACCTTGTCGTTCTACAGTTCCAACGAGACCAATTTCTCTTTTACCGCGCTTTATCCGAAGAGGGAAAGAGGCCGAAGGGAAAGGAAGGGGCGCATGTACTTGAAGCACTTTGCGCTTAGCGCCCAAACTACGTGTAATTATATCGACGATGTGCATTCATATATACCCACGTAATTCATCCTCAAATGTGAAGTGATTCTCGCTAGTTAAGGTTTTTTCACCTCTGAAGATCTCTCTTTGCTCTCGTCTCTCGCGCGAATTTCAAACGGTTGTGTTATTAAAGTTGATGGAATTTTGTTCAATAATATAGGAGATTATTATTTAACGTCGTAATAATAAAACTAAAATTTATTTAGGTAATAATTAAATTATTTTAAATAATATTATATATTAAATTATTTTAAAATTACATTTATATATATAATAATAATATATTTAGTAATAAGTTAAATTAAGCTAAATTTTATTAATTTTATTATTTAAATTAAATTAATGAATTCATAATGAATTTATCTGATATGGACGATAAATCTCCACTAAAAAGCTGAATAAAAAATTTTTGTGTAGCCTCTTTCCATGTAATTATATTTTCTTTCTCTCTCTCGCAAATGTAGAATTATTTCCGCGAGTCGAGAAATGCGTAGATGCTCACAAAAATCATTTATTCTGCTAACGTTGCATGAATTTGCCTACCGTGCAAACGAATATTTGAGGGAACTCTTATGACGTCTCTTTGAGTGCGAATTAATGGAAGGCAAATAGCTGTCCTC